TTACCTGGCACTTATAGGGTATGTACCTGGTACTTACATGGTATTTACCTGGTACTTATAGGGTATGTACCTGGTACTTACATGGTATTTACCTGGCACTTATATGGTATGTACCTGGCACTTACAGGGTATGTGCCCAGTACTTATAGGATATGTACCTGGTACTGATATGTAACCGGTCCTCACGGTATGTTTTAGGTAAGTACCAGGAATAATGTATCAAGTACATACTTGTTACATACTGGTTACTTAATTGGTATGTACAGATAGATATTAAGTGTCAAGTAGGTACCCAATATGTACCAGGTGGATTCCAGGTACTTACCCCAAATGTACCATGTAAGTATGTTATGTTATGGGTATGTGCACAAAACATACCAAATATGTACTAGATATGTATGTATAATGTACCAGGTCCTACGTTACTTAACCTGGTACATACCAGTTAAGTATTAGATACATACCCTGTAACATACAACTACTTAGTTCATATTAGTTGAGTTCCAGACAGTATTATGATCCAAAAAGTGCCTAAACTTTACATTTCATATGGTAAACTTTATTGACATGAATCAACTAAAACTACTGAATACATTTGAAGTATTTTTCATTTAGTTCATATTACAAGCTGCATTTAATGCATATTTACAAACCTTCTGTTTTCAATTCAACATGACATTAAATAGACCTAAACTAATTTAAAAATAGATATGGACTTGGACTTGATGCCATGACCCACACAGGTTCTGGAGAATTTTAGTGATCTGGAGAACCCCATGTAAGACCTGAGGGTTCATTCAGACTCAGTATGAGTCTGGTTGAAAACGTGAAACACAACAGGCTTAGTGTTGCAGCTTGAATTGAGACTTGTCCTGTTAAGACGTCAGGCTCAGAACCGGGCCAAAGGGTTCTGTAAAGTGAATGAAATATGTATTTTCTAGAGGTTTAACTCAGAACAGGCACCAGACCACTTGAGTTGACTGAAATAGAGGTAAGTCGTCACTGACAGTAGGTGAGTAATGAGGCCACCATCTTGCTAGGTGCTACATGCATCTGTTTACATACAGTATTGCCAACACCTTGTGTGTGCTTTATATTATGTCACCAGTATTAAAAAAACATATATACATACATAATCTTTATTTCATTTAACAAAAAACCTAAATCATGCAAACTGTGAAAGCCAGTAATGAACCTCCCACCAAGCCTGGTCAGCTGTTATCAGAGGTAAAACGCCGACTCAGCAGGCTCTTATCCTGCATATTAATAATTCTCTTGACAGTTGGTGGCCTGTACGCATGGATCAAGTGTTAGGTCCAAATCATTCAAATATAAATGAACTGAACCTTTAACAAGACATCATTTCATACCAGTTAGTTGTTACCACTGTGAAAAAATTGCTAAGTATTACAGTACATTTACAAGTCTTCTTGGTTAGCACTCTGCTACAATATCTGTAGCTAACTGTACTTCAAGTGAAGTTATAGTATGTATTCTTCATAATTCTGGAAATATTTTGAATATTTTCACTTTAGAAAAACTGAATTTTTGTCTAGCTTATACTTTAACTCATTAACAATTAACACTTTTGTTTACAGAGGATTTATTGCGTGCACAATGAACAAGACAGCCACAAGTTTAAAAAAAATCCAATTTTCTATTATTTATGAGCTCATTTGATATAGCATATTTATAGTGACAAACTATATAGCACCTACCAAGATGGCGGCAGACATCCATACTTGTCATTATAGTGTGCTGTGGTTGGAAAATCTACTGTATTTCTGTTTCAGAGCTTGAGATTAGTTTTTTGGTATTCAGTACATTTAGATTTGACTCAGGTGAAAGCAGCTCTGAACTTCAGGCCTGACTTTGTCTGGAACTGTTGAATGACTTTAGATACTTTGAGACTCAAACACATGATTCGGTTTATAAGACTTATTCCAGCTGACTGAACACCATGATGTGTTTGTGTGCAGTGAGTTTGTAAAGGAGGAGTTCAGCCAGGGGATGCTGCGTTCAAAGACAGTGGAAGACATCCTGACTCCCCTGAAGGACTGCTTCATGCTGCCCAGCTCGGCCATGCTCGACTTTTCCACCATGTCTGAGATCATGCAGAGCGGCTACACCCGGGTGCCCATTTACGAGGAGGAGAGGTGGGTGCACCGTAGGACTCACCTTTTGAAAAAGTGTATTTTCAGTTCTTATTAATTAATAGCATAAAAACTGGAGTCAGAAATGTGTGCTTCAGTAGGGTTTCTGCAGGTTTATAAAAGTTGGATCTCACTTTTTAAAACCAGTATTTCCAATTATTGAGTTTAATGTGGATGATCTTTTAGTTTTAGATAAGAGCAGCTTAAATCACAAACTGAAGGTGCTGGGATCCAAACAACCAGGCACAGAGGTGAAAAACACTTTTAAGCTGGCTACTTTTCAACCGTTTGGTAAATAGTTTAACTTCAAAGGTTTCTCAGTAAACTTTTATTCACTGATGAACTATTGCATCACTCTCCGTGTAAGAGAAAAGAAGGTCAAGGTGTACCAAAGTAGCAGCAATGAACTGCAATTTCTCTGGATGATTTATATTGTAGTAGACTGCATCTGAAAGACAAAGACAAATAATTTAACATTTGCTTGTTTCTGTTTGTCTGTTAGCAAATTTCATAAACCACTGGACCAAATTTTATTAAACCTTTCAGAATAGGGATGTCCTGATCCAGATTTTTTGGCTCCCGATACAATCCGATTTTTTTAATGATTAGTCTTTTCGATACTGATCCGATAGCTTTATTTTTTTATTTCTTTCCAAGTGACAAGGTTGGTAGTATTAAAGTGAGCCCTGCTGTTCCCACCACGAGAAACATCCAGTTTGCAGATTTTGCAAGATGCAGTTTCAGCATCATTGTTTTCCATTGAAAAGTGTTCCCACACTGTGGACATGGTTGATTACTTGTGTGTGTCTTGACTTCTTAACAGCAGCTGTAAAGCATGATGATGCTGAAAACTGTCACGAAAACTGGATCGGCCCGATCACATGACTAAATCCGATTCTACCCGATTTTCAAAAAAAATGGCCAAATCTGCCACCGATACTGAGTATCTGATCAGGACATCCCTATTTCAGAAAGTTATTACACCAAGAGTGTTCCCCCTAGAACAGTGTTCTTTAAAGTGGGGGACTCAGAAAGCCGGAGGGAAGATGAGAAAAAAAGGCAAAAAAAGGTTGATCTAATAAATGCTTTAAATCGTTAATCATAAAATTAAATCTTTTATTCAGTCTTTAATATATTAACATGTTCTTTAAGAGAGCTTAAAAGAGGTTTGATTTCTTTTGTTATCGGCAGCAGTTTGTTGAAAAGTTGTTTTTTTGGGTTGGAATGTAATACAGTCTTTAAAACATGTTAGAAAAGTTCTTATCCTAAACAAATGTAACAATTGTTGTATGGTAAATAAAAATTAGGGCAAACATGGCAAAAGTAACTGGACTGTACTTATATAGCGCCTTTCTATAGTCAAAGCTCTTTACAGTCTGTGCCCTCATTTATCCATTAACAGCACTCTACTAGATCACTGTACAAAGATAATACATGGAAATCAGTCTATAGAGACTAATCAGTGCTTTATCACACTCAGACACTGATGGGACATATATCAGAAACTGTTGAGCTTCAGTCTCTTGCCCAGGGACACTTCGACATGTGACTGAATAGCGGGGAATTGAACTGCCAACTCTCGCGTTAGAAGAGCACCTGACCATTCAGCCACAGCTGCCCCAATAGTATAAAAGTTGTTTGTTTATACCTTCTGTAGCATTGTTTGTGGATTTTTAAGGGCGACTATTATTAATTAAAAGAGAGAGCAACCTTTTTAAAAGTGCAAAAACTGCCATTTAAGTTGCATTCATTGAATCTCATATCTTTCACTTAAAAGGGCTATATCATGTAAAATCACCTTTTTTGAGTTTTGTATCATGTTATAATGTTATCCTCTCATCAAAAACATGCTCAGAGTCTTATGGTGCGTTCACACCGAACGCGATTTCAGCGTCAGGAGCATCATTGTTACATGCAAAGTCTATGGTGGACGCGCTTCAATCAGCGTCGGGAAATGCTGCGGTGCCTCAAGCACGATTAGAGCAGCGCGATTTGAACGATCTGAGCGTTCGACGCGCTGAGGCGCAAATCGCTAAAGTTAGAAAATCTGAACTTTTGCAGCTCGACGCGCCGCGTCAACCAATCAGAGAGACTCCACTGTGTGACGTGGCGACATATTTCCCGACGGGACAGTTTACTGAATGATGTCCACTAACCTGAAACAGATGGAGAGGAGCTCTTTAGCTGAAATCCAG